CGCACCTTTTGTTTTCTGGTTGCAAAAAGGAATAATTTTTTTGCTTGAAAGTTTTTTTTTTTTTTTTTTTTTGGTAATAAAAGGAAGTTGTTGTGATACCTGTATGTCTAGCCTCGACAAGGTTCAACTTAACAGTAGGCACAGACTCGGAATCGATAGTTGGGAAAGGTACTGGTGGTTTAAAAGAATTAGCCCTTAAAAATATATATACTAAAAAAATTATGATACCTCAAGAACAAAGGAAAAAAATAAATAGGCCCTAAAGTAGACAAGTAGGAATGAGTACTGACTGTGCGAGAGTTGCAGTAATTGTGTAGGACCGGTCGTGTAGCAGGCTTAGGCCTGGACCCCACGGGTTCCCAAAAAGGAAAAACTTATCCGCATAACATTTTTAGCAGCTTTCTGCGGAGTCCTTGGAATGACTTTTTTTTTCCCAATACTGGTTTTCCGATATCCCACAACCCAAATTTTGTGACGTGGAAACATGAAAGTTTTTTTTTTCGCATGGTTTTCGCCCTGCAAAAGTATCGCTTGCGGGTTTCTCGCCGCAATTTTGTGTTGATTGGAGAGGGTAGAGGGGGGGCGGCATCTTGAATCTTTCTAAGGTTGCGTCTCCATGAAGGACTATTCATTATTTACTTTGCACCTGAAGATACATGCTCGGTCGTTCCAACGGTCCTTCAGAGGGTACTCAAACACTCCCCCACTTTACTTTTTCGATCGAATGTCAGGCCACGTTTCCTTTACGGAAAAGAAAAAATCATCGCTTTGCCCCAAAACCTATTTGGTTGTGGGATCCCCGTACAATCGTTTCCAAACTTTCCAAAAATCTTTGCCCGCTTTTTGTAGCTAAACACTTTTTCCATCTGCAAAGTTGTGGGGTTCAGACCTTAGTCAGAGACGGAGCGCGAGGTCCCACTAGACAAGAGGGCTGGTCCCACCAACCAAAAGGGTTGGACTAAGGGCATGAGGGTCTCACCACACGTCACGCAAAATGAAAAAAAAATTGGTTTCATTTCGTTTTCACACCACCACATGACCCTCAC